GGCTTTTTTTAGCCGCGTGGGATCAGCGCAATTTTGTAGGCGCCGCCGCCTCACATTGAATCCGCGGATTTTGAGCTGTAAATACGCAGATGCGATAAAGTGTTTCCAATAATTCGACGTGTCTAACTTATCGGGAGTAAAAATGATCGAAGTTCGACCAAAATGACGTAAAACCTCTTCCAAATTGGAGAATATTAGGCTATTCTGTGATTCACGTGGTTTCAAAGTATGGCCTGTAGAATGAGCACAAAAAAATTTGGGAAGAAGTCGGGCATGTGCGGAAAAAATTGATGCCAAAAATGTTGACGCGCATGCGCGTCCGCTGTCGTAAACGTGTTAATGTTGCAACTGTTATACTCAGTAGACCTCCTGCTTAGCATGTGTCTTTTTTCGAGAACCTAGATCCTTTATGAAGAGAAACACTTCGAAAGCCAACATGATAATAAGACGACCTTTGCGGGGCTCATTGCCTCCAAAGCAAAGTTTCAGCATTATACAACTGGACTGAGTTATCTCGTTTTCATATGCCAGAGGATGCTGTTTTTCAATTGAAATTGTTTTGTTGAGCGGGGTTTATGCATTTGGAGTTTAGGTTCGAAAAAAAGAAAACGACAGAATTTTTCGAGAAACCGAATGAAAGTGGTACTGAAAATTTTAGGTCCTCCTGGAGGATTTCCCTTCGTTATGGGTGGAATGGGTTTTCCATCTGAAATGCATTTCACCGCTCCGCGACAAGATGTACGTCCCATTATAGTTTTCTTCACATTGGTTACTTATTCACTGCAAAACTTTTGCAGATCGTCAATGTGGATCCGTTTTTATCGTGCACGAGTAGATTCACTGATGTACAGCGGGTTTTGCGCAACAGTCACCCAAATGTTCCTTCTCAACTATCTCCATATCGCCGGTTTATGGGCGTAGGTTCCATTTACCATTTCTCTCTGTGCGACAGTATTCGCTCTGGAATTTTGGACATTGCCACCAAAAATTCGAGCATTATTAAGTGTCTGGTAACTTTATTCGTTTAGGATGCGTTGTCGTCGAATTCGTTAACTGACCGACGAATAGTACCCATAGATGCTTACGAGCGCGTCATGGTATGTGTTTTGCGGATAGGTTTCTCTTGCAACCCTTTAATTCGTGTTACAGCTTCCTCTCAACTCTTCTGGTCATGTTTTGATGGCCAATGAAAGCGATTTCGAGAATTTCATACAGCTTGCCATTCGATCTGCTCTCAGTCAGATGGTTCACACAGATCAGGATCGCAATTCGCGTACGTGCCTTTTGGGAACACTAATTTTGAATATTGCTCATGCTTCGGAAAGTCAACAAGCTTATGGCTAGCATGGCATCCGTCTGGTAAGGTTGTCATGTTATGTGGAAACAGCTTATCCACACGATTCTAGTAGATGCAGCGAGGGCTATAAAGCACGACTCCATAAATTCAACATGTCTCTATTAGTGGGAGAATACAACCTGGGGTTGTATAAACGCTCTTCCTCATCGCTAACTATGTACGTTAACGACAGCCCTCTATGGGTGTCTGGAGGCGCGGGACTTACGCGACTTTGCAGCGCAGCTGTCTCACCTCACACGGATTTCATATGATGAATTCACAAAAGATAGAGGATGAAAAAATGTTTAAGTAGTGGTCAGTTCATAAAAGTTATCCAGGAGTGCAATAGTGAAATTCCGATAACAAGGACGTGTAATAGTAATGGAAAAGCAGTATTTATTGGACCTAGGGGCAGTTTACGTCAGAAGCAACTTCATCTTGGTTGTTTCCATCGGACCACATTTCTTGCCATCCATGAAGTTCTGTATTCACTTCTACTACTTTTTTTTACGCGCTATAAAAAGAAAACGAAAAATGTACCGCAGTTCAGTTTAACTAATTTTCGTAAGTTTAGAAAACCTCAGCTAAATTGACATATGTAGTCATTTTTGAGCGGTATGTTAGAATCAATACAGAAAAGGTAAAACTTAGGATGAAAAAGTATCTGCGGGGCATAGGTAACGCGCCGTCCCACGCAACCTGTCATGTGGGGGACGTGCTTCCCGATTTGTTGTCAACATTGACCACGTTTCAACCGATTCTCGTGACTGCTGCCACCAAGGAGTGGTAGAGTAACCTAGAAGAAGATCCGAAAGGGATATTTGCGCAGAAAATAATACCTACCTTACATAGACCATATTTATTTATTTTAGTTTATATGCACTCTAGGTGCGCTCTACATATATAGAGCATGAACATCCTCAACATGCAGGCGGAGAAGGACAAACATAAAAAATCGAACTAATGATGACTATGAAAACATAAGCAAAGACCTAGAAACGACTAGCGAACATAACAAAAATGTGCAGAAACAGAAAGGCGCAGAAGCGAGGTAGAGGCAGGAATCAGCCGCACACGTGGAGAGAAGCGAGTGGCACAACTACATTTCAAATGAGAAAAGGAACAAGTGGAGTAATGAAGGAGAAAAGAAGTTTTCGTCAGGGCAACGCTGTAAACGAGAAAGAGTAATGAAGTTAGCCAGCAGAGCCGTTATGAAACAATTTAACCAAGTATTCGAAGAATAAGGGTGACCATTATTTCTGAGACACCTATCCAGCGCCATTTCGAGCATTTGCTCTGAAGAAAGCAGTGAAAGAGTCAGTCTGAGCAACACGACTAGCCGAGGCTATTAGGCCTATATTCTTGTCTTAGGATAGGAATGACATCGGGTTCAATTCTGGGGCATGTTTTTGCTCAACCATTTTTTTGTTTCAGTTAGTTCCTTTTAGATGCCTTTATTCGTTCGTATAATAACATACTTAGTGAGCCGTAGGTATTGTCCTCTTGTTTCAGTTTTTTTGTGATCTATAAGTTCAAGATAGGGCCCGCAACTTATTATGTAGGCCACGTCGCATTCAAACGCCACTACGAATGTACAAATGGAGGTAGAGCCGTGCCGCATCTCAAAAACTTTATTACGCCTGCGGAAAGCATGCGTGAGAAAAGTAACAGTATTACGATGTAAATTATCGAACGAATTTTTTGTTTCATAGGCAGGTTTCAGGCGTGTTATGAATTTTGCAGTATCCCCCGTTTTTAACCCTTTCGGACCTGAATTTTTCCCGTGGAGAAATTTTTCTTCTAGCTATTGTTTATTACTTGTGAGCATATAAGTATCATTATGGCGAAATTTGGAAGCTATTCGATCACAAACAAAGAAACTAAGAAGCTTTGAAAATTGGCCCACCTTCTTAGTTTTTAAGCTTATGTCGAAACAATTCCAAATTTCATAGTTATGCCGAAAAAGTTTATAATCTTGCACAACATTATAACCCATAATTTTGATTTAAGAATGGATCTACTTCAAGTATTTTAAGAAAAAGTGACACTTACTTGGCCGGTTGCGGGGACCAGCATTGATTCACTTGTTGCACTTGTACACAAATACTTGTAATACTAACAGCAACACACAATGAAATGGCAGGTTTAGCTCATAATTAGGAAGGGGAAGGTTGACTGAAGCAACTCTAGCAAAAAAAACCATGCTGTTTCAGCGGCAATGCAAACATTTGAATTTGATGGTGGCAATTGCCACCGCCAGGGCCGAAAGGATTAAACTCTCCGCCCACCACATATCTCCTTACCCTCATCATCGCATTGCCACTCGTTCTTTTCTTCAGTTTCTCGCTGACCTGGATCCGAATTAGAGATTTTTGCGGTCGACATTTTTTAGGTGCGTGCTCTGTACATCTGAGTCCATACCGCTCCCATGCCAAACTTTATCTGGCCAATGGCTAATTTTCGGGTTACTGAATTTCGTAACCCGCACTGGCAAAAATTGCGCTTTGCAGATAATAGGAACACTTTTTTTGTATCACGCAATTTTTTTTGCTCACGGGTGCGGTGATCCCTCCTTTGCTTTTTTGCGCTGACATGTTAGTGTTCTTCACTATGTCCGCATTCAAGCGGTCTAGGGGTTTATCTGCTGGCCGTTGGGTTTATCGGTTCTATTCCTATTTGGTCCTTTCTTTCTTGTCTCTGACTTACACATAATTCGTTTATTTTGCTACTCATTCCTCATATGCGTTTCTGACTAGTCGTTCGTTGAAAGATCTTTCTTGGCTGTTTTGCTGATCACATGTGAAGATTTCCCCTCCTGCCATAAATCTTAGGGATATAAATACATAAGTATGTGCATACTAGGTCATCTTAGGAAAACAATTAGAATACTTGTTACTCAATTATTGTTGTTTATGAAAACTATAATCACTCATTTTTTTCAGAGAATGTTCGTGGGAGCGCTAACCGCATGTTCCCTCCTGGTCAGTCAGTGCAGGTAAGAGTGATTCCGAGATATTTTGCGGTAGTACTTTGGAAGCTGAGCGGCTTAGCGTGTGGGACTGGGCCTCTCTCAAATTAAAGAGTATTGTGCCTCACTACTTATAAGTGGGCCGATTGCAACGCTGAATGGGACGATTAGAACGCACAGCGACCAGAAAATGTAGATTGCCCTTGAATGTGATTGTTTTAATCAAGGTATAAGTATGACTCTGATGACTCAAAGTACTCTTGGGATAAACTTAGTCTTCATAACAAATACAGGTTTCCTCATGTCAAATGTCACACTAGTACAGGGTGCGCCAAAATTACGGAGACAGCGACTTCGAGTTGCCTAGGATGAGCAAGGTGCAATTCTTTGAAAACAAAAATGCAGTGACGTGCACAGTCCCATTCTGAATCGTCGACATCCATGCAATTTTTGAAATTCCTTGGTTTGTGTTTATACGGGTCCTCAGAAACATCGAGGAACCATCGACTGTGGCACGCAATGTGGCGAGTAGGACTCGTCAAGCTCATTTTAGAGCGGTTTCTTCAACGAATCCCTAGACATAATGTGTTTTATGCAAGCCTCAGCTTCTAGAACGGATCCGACAGCGTACCCTATCGAGCTCAGATCTGAAATGCTGTTCTACCACCGTTTAAGCCGACAAAGTCGAAAAAATCGGTTCTGCATCAATGCTGCACTAGTACTGAACCACCCTTGCCTCGTAAACGGGAGCTCCTACTTGATGGAAGGCCCAGCAACGATTTTCAAAGTGAAAATAAACTCAGGATAGCAATGGGCTCTGATAAGTCCAAAAGAGCCCCCCTGATTCCTATCTCTCGTGACATCCAGTGAAACCAGCGCGTCAACTACCTGCAAATTCTATCGCACACAATCCTTAGATTGTTCGTGGTCGCCACAGAAACACGCCCTTCTCATCCAGAATGACTGCATTCAGCTCCTTGTCCCCTGTACCATTTTGGAGCATCTATTGATAGTGCTCGGGTATACACCAAAACGATGATAATTGTCGCGTGCCAAAAACCCTCAACGTCGAAGTCCAATGATTTAGGGGGACGGTGTCAGTATCAGTCAACCGCTGCAGCTACCATAGATTTTGGTGGTTGAACAAGGTAAGCATAAACATTCTACACCACAGTACCAAAACTAGGACAGAAGAAAACAGCATCTGTGAATATCAGTTCAAATTGTTTGCTCATGCGTTGTCTCCGTAATTTTGGCGCACCCTGTAATTGGCTGTTTACGGAGGACAATTTCATCTCTAAAAATAACAATGTAGGTGCTTTCTTGCGTTCTACTAAATGTTTTTCGCGAGAAACGCAAGCTTCATAGTGCGTGCTACACACTCTACGATCAATACTGGCTGAATGCTGCGTAACATAACATTCTTCTCTTAGTATGTAGACAGTACAACCGCTTGAGTGCATCACCTATTCAGAATGCTCTCATATATCATTTGTTATGCGAGCTATGCTTTACCAGCTGTTTGGCTCTAGCCATTAAAGCTGGTTCACTTCGAAAAGCGAAGCGCAAAAAGACAAATAACGAAGGAAGGTCATCAGGTCGGTCCGGCCATTTGCAATGAGCTCGTATACCGTTGAAGTCGCCTCGAGGCGCTGAGCTCAGAACTGCCTTCCTTATCTGCTAAACGATTCTTTGAACGTAGTTATAAAGCAAGGAAGCGCAGCGGTAGTGCCCCGAACTCGCGAGCAAGAGGTCGTGAGGAACGGTTCCTCGTGTGTTTTATTTGTTTTCCTCTTAATGTAGCCGTAAAGCTTTCAACTTTTTCAGTTCATCAGCTCTTGCCATTAGTTCCCTGTACGAAAAAATTTCGAGCAGTTCCTTGCAGGTTTGGGCAGTAGTTGTCCATGTATGAACATGGTGCCCATAATGCACGTGTCAGCTTTTTCGCTGGCAAACAGACATGATGTTCGTGTTTAAGGGATGAAGCTACCCCTTGGGATAAGGTCCGACCGAATCCGAACTCTTGCTTCACTTCTAGAGATAGGGTGAGCCAACCATCGTCAACCGATCGTCGAATCCTTGGGATAAAAATCATCTACCTTTGACCAGGATTCCGAAAAGAAAAACGTCCAACTGGCTCATGTTTTCGCACAACGGGAATGATTTTCATGGTCCTGTATTCATTCAAGGAAGTGGCTTCACTAGTTTGTATTCATTCGACTTGACCTTCGTGCGCTCGGCCAGTTACTGACTGCCGTGGTCGATGTCAGTTCAAAATCTCAGATTTGCTGGAAACTTGTCCTCAGGTGTAGCTTGAACCCCTGAACACGAATATCGTACTCATTTGTCGCAAACGCCTGGCTAGTGAGCTATGAGCGTCATGTCGGCGTGGGCAAATAATGGCTGAAGCTGCAACAAGGTACTCGCGGGCAGGTAATGATGACGGAATGAGGCCGGTGAAAGGTTTTTTTTTCCTAGGTAGGCAAGGGCAGATGTTGAAATAAGAACGGGAAAAGTTTTTTTAGTCATGCTGTTGAAAAGCAAACCAATGCCCACCACGGAGAACTGATCCCATGACCTCTCACTTACGAGTCCGGAGCGCTACAACTTAGGCCATTGCTTCGCAGTCGTTATCCCCTAGCTTTGACTGTGAAAGCGCTCATACAGTCAATACTGAAAGGAATGCTTCTCATAAAAATGTGATTCTACTATTTCACCCATAATTCACTGGCTTGGGACCATCGTCACGATAAGAACGAAAAGAACAAAAAAATTGCATTTGTTTTGTAAAAAAATTCGAAAAATCGAAAGGGCTGCTACGCGTTCAAAGTACCGCCGGACATCTGTCACAAATGCTGGCGACGGGAATGCTTCCACTTGGTTCTTGGAGTGCCTTCACTAGAAACTCTTTCTGACTTATTGCATTCACATCTCACACTTCTACTCCATCCTATTCTATCGATCGATTTGTCTCTACTCTCCAAAATCGCACGCTTTAACCCGATTCTTTCATTGCGTCGCCTGATACGTAGCCGCCCAAGGCGGACTTCTTTCCATGCCCGCCTTTGGCTCCGCGCCACTTACCTTCGATTGTCCATAGAGTGTGGTTTTTGTAAGTTTGTTTCTCTTCGGAAACCGAATCTTTGTGCGTGAAACTTTGTATGTTGTCTCTAGTGATCACAACTGACATATGCGTGTTAGGAAAGAATGCAAGATTTTTCCGGGAAGGATCCTCTAAACACAGCATTCAATTACAGAGTGATAGTGTTGAAGGTGAAATTGCCGTAGCTTCATTTGGGACATGGTTTAGCGAATATTTCACGAAGGGAAGCGGTTTTTCACTCATTGTTTTTAGTCGCATGAGTGTACACCTCCTTGCAGGTAGCCGGACCACTTGATGACCTTTTTTGATAAGTCCATTACGCTGGCGTGGCTGTAAGTGGTCGTGGGTGAATGGCGAAGTCTGCCTGTGTTCCACTCAGTGCCTACCTGATCATTTTGATCGCTGTAGATTTGAAATGTTTCTACGATTTGTCCTTCTCTTTATCCCAACACGAGACGTCATTAAATCATCTCGTGAAAAAGGTGTGCAACGTTTGGATCAGTTTCATCAGTGTGTTGCTGCAAATGTAATTCCTCGTTCGTCATCTAGTTGTTATTGTTCTGTTGCTTTCCTTGTGTTTTGTCTGGTATCATTTCCTCTGAAAATTTGAGTTGCGCGTCTTATATTTAACAGTGGAGGGCATTCATTTAATGCAATACTGTGCCCGCACTTTTATGATGGCTTAGCCTATGACGCTTCTGTTCAGTTACCC